GTCTTTTGTTATGTTATTTCTTTCTTGCTAGGTTAGTTATGTTTTTTTGCTAGGTTAGTTGTTTGTTGTTGCTAGGTTAGTTATTTGTAGTTGTTAGGTTAGTTGAGTTTTGTTGCTAGATTAGTTGTCTTAAGTTGCTAGGTTATTTTTTTCTTGCTGCTAGGTTAGTTGTCTTTTGTTTCTAGGTTATTTCTTTCTCGCTGCTAGGTTAGTTGTCTTTTGTTGCTAAGTTAGTTCTTTCTTGCTGCTAGGTTAGTTGTCTTTTGTTGCTAGTTTAGTTGTTCTTTCTTACTGCTAGGTTAGTTGTGTTTTGTTGCTAGGTTAGTTCTTTCTTGATTAGTTGTCTTTTGTTGCTAGTTTAGTTGTTCTTTGTTGCTGCTAGGTTAGTTGTGTTTTGTTGCCAGGTTAGTTCTTTCTTGCTGCTAGGTTAGTTGTCTTTTGTTTCTAGGTTATTTCTTTCTCGCTGCTAGGTTAGTTGTCTTTTGTTGCTAGGTTAGTTCTTTCTTGCTGCTAGGTTAGTTGTCTTTTGTTGCTAGTTTAGTTGTTCTTTCTTACTGCTAGGTTAGTTGTGTTTTGTTGCTAGGTTAGTTCTTTCTTGATTAGTTGTCTTTTGTTGCTAGTTTAGTTGTTCTTTGTTGCTGCTAGGTTAGTTGTGTTTTGTTGCCAGGTTAGTTCTTTCTTGCTGCTAGGTTAGTTGTCTTTTGTTTCTAGGTTATTTCTTTCTCGCTGCTAGGTTAGTTGTCTTTTGTTGCTAGGTTAGTTGTCTTTTGTTGCTAGTTTAGTTGTTCTTTTGTTGCTAGTTTAGCTGTTCTTTCTTGCTGCTAGGTTGCTAGGTTAGTTGTCTTTTGTTGCTAGTTTAGTTGTTCTTTTGTTGCTAGTTTAGTTGTTCTTTCTTTCTGCTAGGTTAGTTGTGTTTTGTTGCTAGGTTAGTTGTTGCTACTTTAGTTGTTTTTTCTTTCTGCTAGGTTAGTTGTCTGATACTGCTAAGTTAGTTGTGTTTTGTTGCTAGGTTAGTTGTCTGATGCTGTTAAGTTAATTGTATTTTTCTTTTTTTTATTAAAAAATTGTAACCCATAGAATTTGAACCTGGTACCTCATGGAAGCAAGACAAGCAATGCAACCACTACACCACTCAAGGATGAATGTTTTTTGTTGCTAGGTTATTTATTTCAACGCAACGGGTCAACGCCGGAAGTCAACGATTCTCGCCGGAAGTCAACGGTCAACGCCGGAGTCAACTAATAATTATTTTATTATTTAATTAATGTATATTTTAATTGATTTTGATCTAGACAAAATGAGTGGCTAAGATTGAGTCTCAGGTACTCATTTTAATGAGTGGTCTCATTGGATCCGTCCCCTATATATATATATATACATATAGATTTAACATTGTGTATTAAACTAGACTGTACCTCTACATTATTNTATATATATATATATATATATATATATATAAAGGTTTGATTATTTTTTAAATAGTAACTATTTCTCTAAAAAAGATTGTATTTACTATTTTGGGAAATTAATTTAGCAATGTATGGTATATTTTAAATAATCAGTTATGGAAATTGCAGCTCATTATGTAAGGAAATAATTAAACCATATAAAGATACATTTTTAAGATACCTTAATTACTCAAATTAATTAAACAGTTTATGTGTATTTCAAATAATCATTTATGGTAAATTCATTCTTAAGATACCTTAATTACTTAAATCATGTGGATTGGTTGATTTACCCAAATATGAGAATTTCGGCTGCAATATTAATTATGTGATTTGGTAAAAGAATTTCAACTAAATTGTATAATTTATTATTTGATAAATGTTTTATACATTTTTTTTATAATTCTTTTATAAAATACATTTTTAACATACCTTAATTACGCAAATTTTGTAAATTCGGCTGATTTATTCAATCTGTAATTAATTACTACAATTATAGAAATATCGACAACAGTAATTAATTATGCAGTTTGCAAAAAACTGTTCTAAAAAAATTGTGTTAATGACAATTTTTATTTAAATATTATTTAATAAATGTTATTCATTTTTCGTGTATTTAATTTCCCAAATCATGGACAATTAAGGAAATAATTTGACCGTAAAAATTTACAATTATAAGATACCTAACTACGCAGATTTCGTAAATTTGGTTGATTTATTTAATTATAATTTCTTATAAAACTATTCTAAAATAATTGTGTTATTGGTAATTTCTATTTAATTATTTTTTAATAACTCTTTTTTGGGTATTTTTTTATTTTTATCTATAATAAATGTGTTATACATTGTGCAATTAATTTCGTGGTTAAACTGAATATAATTTTCTGTATTTTATCAATAAAGTATGAAATCAAAGTATTTGGTATAGTATATATTGATCCAATATATCCGCTTATGGTAATAAATGGTATCTCAATATTTTTTTTTTCATATTGCTCAGCATTTTACTCGATATTAATGAAAGAAAAATCTGGATAATACCATGGTCGATTCTTCTTTGTAAATGTGCGTAGAACATATCAAATTATTTGGTGTGTGTGTGTGTGTATATATATATATATATATATAAAGGTTTATTTTTACTTAAATCACATTGTAGTCAAATTGAATTTTGAATAAAAAATTTAAAATGACACCGATTTTAAAATGAATATAATGTAACTTATTATAAGTTATTTGCACCGTACAGGTCGTGTACTAATTTCAAATAGACATGTTTTATATAATTTTGTACAATTTAAATTTCATATAAAATTTTCAACAAATTAATATAGGTAAATTGCATTATATTGATTCCATATTTCTAATTTATAAATATTATTTAATGGCCACTTTTAATTTAAAAATATTAATGAATATTTCATACCCGTGCATCGCACGGGATTCGTACTAGTTAGTGAGTTACAAGTTCATGGAATTAAATTAAGGGCTTAAAAGATTTCATTTTAGAAATCCATTATCTTTTTATGTTTTCCCTTTATTATTTTCTTTGNTAATTTTAAACCCTAATTCAATTTACTATAATTAAATTTGAGTAAAACGTATAACTGAAATACGTTTTATAAACACCCTAAATCAATTTAGGTTTTCTAAAACGTATTTCATTAATACGGTTTTTACCGTAAATAAACCATTAAGAAAAATTTAAATTAAAATAAAAAAATTGAAAACGTATTTGCAAAATACGGTTTTTACCGTAAAAAAATAGAAAACGTATTTGCAAAATACAGTTTTTAACAAAATATAAGTTCGAAAAAATCTTCTCCTACACCACTCTGCGCAAACACAAATCAGAGAGCAGAAAATCTTTCACCTGAAAATTAAAAAAAAAAAACTTTTAACAATCAATCGATTCGGAGAAGAGATTAGTTGTTATTTTAATGTAATGTAATTACATTTTTTTTGTTTATTAAATGTGTAAGAAATATTTGTTGGTTTTGATGAGTATAGTTTAGAAAAGATTTATTGTTGATTTAATAGTTGTGTTAAATGATTATACATTGTTCTTGGATGATGGGTTTCGGTGTATGTTGAGATTTTTTTTGAAAATTGGATGATTTATATTGTATGGTTGAATTATAAGAATTAGGGTTTTGGAGAGTTATTTTATAAACGAATTGGTGATTTTTCTGTGCAGTCAAGTTTTCTCCCAGGACGAATACTTTCGCCTCATGAGGACACAGTCACACAAGGCCAGACATTAACCAACCCCCAACATTGGTGGGGGTAGAAGACCTCGGGCCCGTTCCCGCGCTCAGCCGTCTGCCCATCACCTCCAACCTGAGCAGCCCGAGCCTCAACAAGGTGAGATTTTTAAATTAACAATTTTTTTTTTCGAGTCCAATTTATGATTTCTTTTTTTCAATTGAATTACTCAGATGAAAAGATGAAAATGCGCAAGCTTTTCAAACTGACACACTTCTCACACCTCAACCTTCGTCTTCTTCTCACATGGTATATACTCGGAAGGGGTCCAGACTGCGCAGGCCTAGGGATCCATACACTCCTTCCTAGTTAGTTGTGTTGAGTTCGTGGATTTTATGTTCATTTTGAATTGTTGGATTGTCTATATAAACCGAATTATATCGTTTTATATATATTGTTTGTTCAACAATTTATTGTGTTTCATTTGTTTGTTTATAGTGTATGTTGGATTATTATTGGGCGAAGATGTTGATATTAGTTGCTCGAACAAGTATATTTGGTTGTGAAATGATCTCTAATAGGTTTTTCTTTTGGATTTTTGCTAAACTATTGTGGTTGATTTTTCTTTGTTTGACGAATGGATTGATATGAGCTTGTGGAATTAATATTTGGTTGTGGAATCGATCTCGATTAACAGGTGTGTTTTTTTAATTTTTGTGTATAGGTACTGTTTCTGCACAGTAAAACGTATTATGAAAATACGTTTTTATTTTTTTTAACAGAAAACTTGTTTCAAGAATACGTTTTACTGCGCAAAATTAGGGCAAAATCAATTTGAGGCAAAATTATGGTAAAAACGTATTTCAAAATACGTTTTATATTTTGAAATATTATTTTCTAAAAAAATTTATTTTTAAGAATTGTAAAAATTAATTTTATTTATAAAACGAATTCCAGGAATACATTTTATAATTAAAACACAAATGTAAAATTAATTTTAATTATAAAACATATTTGAATAATACGTTTTATTTTTATTTTTTACTTTAAAACGTAATACCGAAATATGTTTTCTTATATTTTAATTACGTTAATTACGTTAACTAATTTTTTTTACGGAAATCATATTCCTTAAATACTTTTTTTATTAAAACCGTATTCTGTAAATACGGCTTTTAATTAAAAACGTATTCATTGAATACGTGCTTTTTATTTTGGTTGATACCCTTTTTTTTTGTCCATTTAATTTTTTTTAATTAAATAAAAAAATCTGTTTTTGTTCCCTTTTCATCTCCTTACAAAAATGCCGATTTTTTTCCCTTTTTTGCTTTTTTCGTTTTGTGCAGACTCCCTCTCTCGTTGGCAAGTGAAAACATGAAAAGAAATAGGATTAATTAATTTTATCCAGTATTTTAATCTTCGAAGATACTGATAAAACTTCTGTTATGACTATTATTATCATCAATAAAAAGCAGATTCAGGGATATATTGTAGCATCTTCGAAGAGATAGTCAAAAGGTCTATTTTTCAGTGGCATAAATATTACAGAAACCTCCAAAAGCTCTTTGGTCAGAAATTAGGGAAGTAATTTTTGGATTGTTCCTAATTCCGCATTCAAAAACCTTTGCCGGTTTTGCTTTTTTCACACCATTCTCAATTCTCTCCCAATCAATTATTTTTCTCCCAATCGAGATGGCGGAGCCCCAGATTCCAGAGCCTGTTCCCCAGCCCACTGACCCGGCCGCGAGCTCGCTGGACGAGCTGCCTCCTGACCCTCTGCTGGGATCCGACTCGTTCATCGACCCGGACAGGGTTGAGCCCGAGGAAGCGTTTCCGGAGCAAGAACAGGTCGGGTTGGACCCGGCCACGGCGATTGCGGCGCAGCCGATTTCGATGCTCCGTCCCGGAGAGGAGCCGGTGACGGTGGAGAAGACGCCGCGAAGGAAAAACATGGACGAGATGTCAGTGAGACCGAGCTGGTTGCCTGAAGGCTGGGATATGAGCCTTAGAGTTCGCGCCTCTGGAAACAGCGCTGGATTTATTGACCGAGTAGGTTTTACTTTCCTTCGAACTCATTCTTTATTTATTTTCATTTTTATTTATAATTTGAGATGAAAGGAATAATTTTTATTTTTGTTTTATGTTTGTCTCTGGGATGTGGGTGATGATGGTAAACTGTCTGCGTTTAATCACGGATGTTTAAGCTGTCTTTTTTGGATCGATCTTTGTTTTTTGAATGCCTGTGGAGGCATGTAAAATGTGATTTTTCTGTGATTTGTGTGGATTTGATTTCAATGTTCTTGGAAGGAGTAGGTTTTAGGGTTTATGTAGAGGGGTCTTAGATTAAGAGTATAATGTACCTCCGGGACAGGTTACTCTTAGGAACAAATTATGTGATGCTTACGGAACATTGAATAGGAATCGTGATTAACATAGATTTTTTTTTTTTACTTTTTTAAAAAAATGTGTGCGTTGCAGTTGTCGATTTGCATAGGCAAGTTTATTATTTTGTAATTAATATGTCCTATACCAAGATTATTCGGCCCTTGTCTTTATGGAAATTCGATCATCTGTGTTGTTGGACAGTTTATTTTCTCTTTCGTTCAGTGTGTATATTGTATGCGGTAGCCCTGTTAATGTCACGAACTAGTTGTCTTTTGTCGTATCATTAATTTCCTAAACCAAAAATCGTAAACTCATTGACATAATTATGCCCTTTTCAGTCTCCGGATGTTCTTTTGGTTCGTGGGGTTTCATTGAAATGGGTTCTATGCATGTTCGTTTCTGTATGTTGACGATGATGCATCTCATAATTTTTTGTTCTTTTTTCTGTCACATACTTGGATCACAATAGCCAGGCGAGGAGGGTAAAAGTATTAACCTAATTGTTTTGCATAAGGAATTTGTGTGAGTCAATGTGAGCGTATCAGTTTTATTTTCAGTTATTGCTTTTTTATGCCCAGATGTATATCTTTCATTTGGCCATCCTGGATATTTTATCGTCTATTTGGAATGTGTATATGGGAAAGTACGAACTTATGCATGCATGGAGAAGTTTATTGCTCTCTGTAGTAGAAGATAATAATAAGTTTTTTCGGGAATGAATAGTGGTTAGACAAACCAATGATTTGTGTTGGTGAATCTGTTGAGATTTTACATTTATTGGTTTATTACTTTATTACCATTTTTTGAGTCAGTTGTCCATAGGGTCGAAGTTGAACAAGTGACGCAAATGTAAGCACGTGTCTGTATCCTGTTGATGTATACCCCACCGATTCCTTGTAGTATAGTAATTGGAGGCATGATTGTAATATTCTTTTTCTGCTTTTAGCGTGCGTAAAATCTTCCGACTTTGGTTCTTTATTATCAACTGATATTTTTGGATCCTTCGTATATTCCAATACGACCGTTTCTAATGTTATCGTGGAGTTGTTGTCTCTTCTTGAAGGATAGTATTGGAATAACACTCATATTTTCTATTGTTTTTCTTCTTTTAAATGAATTTGTATAATACAAAGACTAAATTTTGTGCACCATTATTGTTTCTTAACAATGTTATCTTCGTAATCTTGTTTCGAAATGCTCACGTGTTATCTGATCGATTACCAAAGATAAGTTTAAGTACATAATTAAGACAAATTTCTTTCCGTATAGCTTTGAATTGGTCAGCGACCTAAGACGGTGACGACTGATTTATTTATTTATTTAGTTTTTGGGGCAAAGACTGATTTTTTACATAATTAATATATTCAGCGACTTTTGTGGTTTTCGAATTCTTTAAGAATCTCGAGCTGTTTATCCTTGCCTCAATTCACAATCTTAAATTAGTTTGGAGATAATGCAGTTAACTTGGCCCGCTCAGCAATATTATCTTATTACATTTTCCAGTTCTATCCATCTTCTATTGCTAACATTTCCTTGTTTAAAATGTTCTGCACTGCTTCCAGATGTTCCATAAATGCTTCATCCTCTTTTTTTTCGCCCATCAGAATGTAACTTGCTCGACTCCCGTTTGACAATTTGGACCTTGTACACATTGTTGTCAAGTGCTGACCAATTCTTAAGAGTCATCACTCTTCATTGGATCTTCATTTTCCAGTTACAGGCCCGGAGGATAGTTATATATAATTATATATTTCTTGTACTAAATTCATAGCTCTCTCTATGATTTTCAGAGTGTAAATGATGAGATTTAAAAAAGTGCTGAATATGATTTCTTCAACGACATGTAAGAAAATCATGGTCTTGGAGAACATTAGGGTTGAAATATCCATCTTCCAAAATGATAAGGCTATAATGAGTTCTTAAAGTGACCTGATTTGTTTTACTTAGAAGTATGCAGCTGTTTTTTTCCATTCAATTACTCATTTAAATATTCTTTTCCATGCGCGAACAAAAGATAGATCTCTACCAAGTTCTTGAGTAGGCCTCAAGTGGATTTTATAAGAAAAGTTGATACTGTAATCGATCTTCAAGTTCACTCACCAAATATACCTCTTGCTTCTTTGGGACTTAGAAGAAGATTTCAATATCTGATATTGTCATTCATTATTCCATATTTCACTTGTAAATTTATATTGAGTTTGGTTTCTGAAGGTGATATGTGCAAATTGATGGTCTCGAAATAAATTTTTTATTCATAACTTGTGAATTTTATTCTGTATGTCTAGTTTGTTTGATGTCAACTGATGTTTAAACAATTGCCAAAAACTTGTGTTCCTAGTTTTTATGTGCGATTTGTTCGCTTGCATATCATGTCTAGTTGATGGACCACAGGTTAAATGTTTCTTATAGAGGTCTGTTTCTGTTGCTAATGGTACTTTGAATCAAGGGGTTTGATTTAAGAAGTAATTTCAACAATCCATTTTGTGAATGTATATCCATTAAATGGGTATTCTGAGATTAGGACATTATCATCCCTGTGGAATTTAGTACTTGTAAGCTATATGTGTATCTGACAAACATTAGAAATATATGAACACGATTCTCTCCTTGTGTGAAACTGGGGCCGTGAAGTAGCATTATCTGTTGAATTTATTGAATTTTATGAATTTTTACATTTCTAGTAAATATATACTTTTTTTTTTCAATAATAAATATTTACTTGCTTCACTATTTTGGTGTGCCCTTAATCTAAAAAATTGTGCAGTACTACATTGAACCAACTGGACAGCGCAAGTTCCGTTCCAAGAACGAGGTGCTTCACTTCTTAGAAACGGGCAGTAAAAAGAAAAAGCGGTCAACTTCTGCAACAGCTGCTACGGTAGGTTATAAAAAAAATTATTTGTTGTTTAAGGTTTCATTCTCTAATATAAAGACCATAGCAGTCTTAGTCTAATAGTTATCTACTTGTATTTTAAATTACTACTAATCCCTTGGCATTTGCTTTCTCTTGAAAATTGAATACAGTTGATATTTAAAGAGAACACATGCACATAACACTGTTTAATATTTAAAGTATCAGTTAATTGAATAATTAAATCAATATAGTGGGCATATATATAATAGATGCACTCACGCACACATGTTATGTTCAAATTTTGGTTGAAAGAATGGAAAAGATATAATTTGCTTTTGCGCAATGCTGTTTGTCTTGTGACTTTCAAATGGTGAAAGTGTATGTATATATCTCTTGAAAGNAAAAAAAAAAAAAAAATTAGGAGAAAGAGTGAATGCGAACAAGGTGGTTTCACACGATGTTCTCTCTACAGTATGTGTCAAAATGTTGCGACTGCGAATTTTCATCTTATCCTTTCGACTTTGACATGGTTAAAGCTTGTTCTTTGGATGTGGTTCAAATTTATTATTATTCTTCTTTCCCAATTGCTATTCCTTTTTCTAGGAAGGGTCTTGAGTCATTTTCTCAACTTAATTGCACTCATATCTTATGCAGCCTTCAGAGAGTCCCGCCAAACAAAATAAGTCTGCCAAGAGAGGAGATAGTCCCGCCAAAAAAAATAAGTCTGCCAAGAGAGGTAAGAAGTCAGGGGACGTGAATTCTGATGCTGCTCACCCGCAGAATGCTACCAACGGCGTTGATGCGGATGCTAGTTGATAAGGACCATATACTCTGTTGGATGGTAAGACCAAAGGAGTGCACATGACTTGTGATTTTAGGAAAAATGTTGGAACCTTTAACTTAAGGCTTCTGTCCTTTTAAATTATGGGCACATAATGTGGTCCAGATTGTGTTGGTGAATGGTATAATTTTANCGGGCATTCTGTGTCTAGTGATTGTGAGCTCTCTTCATGCTGATTTGGGTTTAGTTAATTTCTTTTGTCTATCTTGATGTTTTATAGACAGGTTATAAGGTATCTGTATTAGAATCTTTCTGAAAGCGCAGGATATAAAGTTGCGTTTTGGAAGATTAATAGGATGCTTGTATACAAAAACTATCTAAAAAATCTAAATATTTTTAATTCAACCACTTTTTTTAACTCAGTTTTAATTCAATTCCACCATCATCAATATTATTAATTTAATTAAATAATATCGACCAATCATTTTTACACATCACATCAATTTTAATTTGCTATTCATCCACTCAAATAATTTTAATTAACCATCAATTCAAATAATTTCTCTCCTACTTTTACATCAAATCATCTTAATTATTTTATTTTAAATATTATTTTAATATATCCACTAACAACTAATTATACCATATTTTTTAAAATTAATCAAATCAAACCAAAAAATTCAAACCAAAATTTGCATGATAAATCGTTCGTTAGAGTTTTTTGATGACTTCTCTTGGAGTACATACGGCCTGGAAATTATCTTTCAAAGTTTATGGTAACCCGCTTGACATTTGCTTCATTTTTACAAAATTGCGTTGTACGAAACATTATTGGGATTTGTGACTTTTTGGATGAGTCATGAGGAACTTCTTAAAATGTAAATATTATTGTTAGATAGCCTAACCGTAATACAAATATAAATTGACAGGTCTGATTTTACAGATAAAATTAAATAATTATAAAATTATGTATATTTGTCGAAACAATGAGATTGTCAATTGTTAAAGTTGTCTAATAACAGTATTTTTTGTTTTGCCAATGGTGTTTGCAGTTTTATATACTTGGAAAAAACCGGACGTACATCATTAACTTACAACCTTTATTTACAAATTGATATGGCGTTTTAAGATATGTTCCTTTCACATGTAGTCGTAAAGGAAAAAGAATGAGTGGCACAAGGGGCTCACTAAGGTTGCAACCAACAACTCAGACAGACTGTGAAGCTCGAATCTCAGCATCTTTAGATGATCATGGTCATTAGAGAATTAACACAATTTACCTCGACCATAATCACAACTGCAGTCCAACTAAGTCGAGATTATATCAATGAGATTATATCAATGCCATAGAGAATTGAGTGCAAATGTAAGGTTTGAAGCAAATTATGTGGACAGAATTCCATTGCTTAAAAGCTTCAATTATGCTATAGTTGAAGCGGGTGATACGATAATATGGCATTTGTCGAGAAGGATTATCGTAACTATATCGAAAAATTTAGACGGTTAAGCCTGGAAGAAGGGAACGCTGCAGCAATGCAATCATATTTTTTGAATAGGCAATCAAGGTGTGCTGGATTTTTTATCTGCATAGATCTGGACGATGATTTTCGTTTACGGAATATTTTTTGGGCAGATAATCGAAGTAGAGAAGCATACAACAAATTCTGGGACATCATCACATTTGATACAACCTACTTAACTACCAAATATGACATGCCTTTTCACCATTTGTTGGCGTTAATCATCAAAGACAGCCAACACTTCTAGATTGTCGTTTGATCTTGAATGAAAATATGAATACATTTTTTTAGCTTTTTCGGACATGGCTTAAGTGTATGCATGGTCAAGCTCCTCAAGAAATTATCATTGATCAAGACAGAGCAATGCAAAATGCCATTCGGATTGTTTTTCCCAATACAAGACATATATGGTGTTTGTGGCACATTTTCAAAAAAGTTGTTTGAAAAGTTTGGATATCATGTCGATGAAGGTTCAATTTTTTCAACAATAACATGAATTGGTATATGACTCTCAAATGGTTGAAGAATTTGAACAAGGTTGAGAGTCAATGACCACAACGTATGCGTTGTATGACGATGAATGGTTGTTAGGATTATACGAGAACAGTAGTCTTTGGGTTCCATGCTTTTTAAAAACTTTTTCTGGGTTGGGATGTCAATTACACAACGAAGTGAAAGCATAAATGCATTTTTCGATGAGTACGCCCACTCGAAAACATCACTTAAACAATTCGTTCAACAATATGAAAGAGCACTGAGAAACAAAGTGGAAAAAGAGGTCCAGACTGATTTTAAGTCATTATGCCAAATAGTCCCATGTGAAACAACATATGAGATGGAAAAGTAATTCCAAACAGTGTACACTATTTCCAAATTTACAGAAATCCAAGCCGAGTTTGTGGGTTTTACTATGATCTCATTTATTCTCCAGAAGGTTGTTTTGGGAAAATATACGAGGTCAAAGAAGATTAATTTTGTGTCCACCAGCGCAAGAGGAAATCATTTTTGTCTATTTCAATAAGGACAAATGTGAAGTTGTTTGTAGTTGTCATTTGTTTGAATTTCGGGGTATTCTTTGTCGACATCCAGTTGCAATACTTATCCGTAATCGTGTCTCTAGATTACCTGATCGATATATATTACATAGACGGAGAAGTGATGTCAGGAGACTATAAACGAGGATTGCTTTGAAATATGACGGATTGAAAAACTCTCCGGGACAATTGAGGTACAACAATTTGTGCACAACTTTTGCCTTGGTCGTAGACCTTGCCGCAGATGATGAAGTTCGAGCCAGGCTGATTGTGGAATGGATTCAATTCCAAGCACAAGAACTTTCTATGTTAAAACATGTGAAAAAATATTCACAATGATCCTACAAGTTTGAAAACTCCATGTAGCATTGGCGTTGGAGATCCAAAGTTGACAAAAAAAAGAGGTGCACCAAGAAAAGTTCAAAAAAGTCCGTCAGAGTTGACTTCGAATAAGAAAAAGAAGAAGAACGAGGTATATTTAAGTATATTCATAATAAGTTAAATAAATTACTAAAAAAAGTCACATTTTTTTTTATTGTTTTATTTTTTTTTTTCAGGCACCTTTAACTAATAAAGGAAATGGATTTGCAAAAGAGTTAATCAAGCAAACAAATGAGTTAAAGGTCTAATTTTGACATTAATTCTTGATTAATTTTTTGAAATCATTTCATTCGAAAAAGTTAAGATAAAGTTTATGTTACTTCGTGGTATTACATAATATTTTTTCTTAGCTGTTGTTGACAACCGATCTGAGCCCGATCAAAAAATGCCACGTGGAAGATTTATCATTAAACCCAATCGAATACGAAGGATTAGGAGAAAAACTGACTTAATAGAACTCGGCGTGGACAGGAAGAAGAACCGACCTCTGGATGAGACGGAGACCGACTTCCATGAAGAACCGAGATCAGGCCATAGGAGGAGACACAGATGGGACACCTGTCAATCATCCGCCCATACATCCATCATTACATGTGGGGACCACCTACAAACTAGCTGCCCATAGACCGTTAAATCGCATTTAATGTCACCGAATTAACCTCGAAGAACGAGTCTAGAGTTGCTATAAATAGCGACATTTATTCCTGTACGATGATCTTTTCCTGACACATTAAATTCACGTATAAAACAACTCAGTTCCACAGATAATTGACTTCGTGTATTCGAATCCGAATTGAAGATAATAAAAACCCAATTAATTTACAACCTTCTACTCGTTAAATCCTAGGGATTATAGTCGTTAAATTTCACATAACAACAGTTTGGCTAGAGGAAGGGCTCCATAAGTTACTTGGAGTTATTCTTCGATCCAACAAGTTTTCGAGAACATCCCGATCATCACATCCATCACATTTCCTACAAATCCATGTCTCACTCAGGCCAGGAAGATCGGATGTCCAGAGCCGGTGCCAGCCTCGGAGCAGCCCCAACCGTCGGTAGAACCAACGCAATGCCGGACCCGATGGGTTACACTGCCTTATTCCAAAACCCGGAATTTGTCAAGGGCTTCTTTGCCCTCATGACTCGAACCATGCTGGGAGCTACAAAAATGGTGCCAGGACAGTCAATAGAACCAAAGAAACCAGCGAAACAAGGCGCCCCACCGACTCAGGGTGGAGACGAGCGCGCTACAGCTTCACACGCGACTTCCGAGTTGCGTGACAACCTGCAACAGATGCAAGGGGGAAAACGGTGGCTCAACCAGTGACAAACTTTCCCGAAATGACTGTTGAAAGTAACTCCGTGCGTTCCCACAGGCCTACGACTCCCGCCCTGCCGCTATTCCCACAACCAGGGAAACAGACCGACTTAAGGCAGCAAATAGAGAAAAGTCACTCTGCAAGGCAGGAGATGACTGAGCTAGAAGCCTTGTGAAAGAAAGGTGTCGAGCTTGAAGCTCGGCAGAAGGTCCAGGAGGGGTTCCCTTGGAAGCCATCCAACTCGGAGTATGTATATGTGGAAATCGACTTCTAATTGACACACAAACTAATGGCAGGACCCTTGCCTGGGAAACTCAAAGTCCCTCAGATTAGTCTATATGGTGGGACAACATATCCGAATGTGCACCTCGGGCACTATGTGTCATGGATGGACTTGCATGGGTCCTCCGATGCCCTGCGTTGCCAAATGTTCTCATTGACCCTGGAGCCGAGAGCCTAGAAATGGTACGACTCGCTGCCACACCACTCAATCTAGAAGTGGCAGCAACTCAGGTCGGCCTTCAGGTCCTACTTCATCGGGGCCCAAGTCTGCCAGATTCCTAAGGAGTCCATAACCAGCATCGTCCAGAAGGAAGACGAGAGCATGAAGGACTACGCAACCGGTTTCAATGACCGAGTTCAGAACATGGAACCTTGCCACCGGGAGACCTTGCTGGTATCTGCAATTGCTGGTCCGAAACCAAAATCCATGTTTTGATGGGCGTTATGCCAGAATAAGCCCAACACATTCCAAGAATTCCTCGTCAGGGCACATGTTATTGCTGAAGAATCCATGTCAGTTCCGAACCTTGAATTTTCTTCCAAAGAGCCGAAGTCGTCCTCAGAGGGAAGAAGAAAAATAAGCAATAGGTCAAGGGGTCGTCAAGTAAACAACAGTTCAAGGGCCCAGCGAAGGGAGACCCCCGAGATCCCGAGGTGAGAGCGACCTGGAGGCAGTACAAGGAGGAATTAACGACGGGCTACCATACCGTCTACTCAGTAGGTGCCGCTATCATTTACGAGGAGCTGAAAGGAAAGGGAATCATCCCTGACGTCGAATCGGTGCGCACCCCTGAAGAGCATTTAGACAAGTCTAAGTACTGTGCTTACCACAAGTCACTCGGGCACAACACAGATGAGTGTATCAGCCTACTGTCAGCGCTGATGAGATTAATCGGAAACCCACAAGTCTGTAAATTTTCCAAGTGTACGAAGTCAGAAAGAAAGGCAGGCCCCTGGATATCCCTGACGACGATGATGACGAAGACTGGGAAGTCAACCCCAAGGGAATATGTCAGGGGGAGAAAGAGGTTTTAATTTTTAGCTCGATTTGATCCGAAGATCCATCCATCCGACCTGGCAAAAGGGACAGGGAGTCAGAGTTCCCAAGCGAGGTTGCGACGGCTCCATTGAAATTCGCAGCGACCCCATTCCCCGAGTCAACACTAACTCCGGAAGACATACCACTTTGCAAAGGCAAGCGACAGCCTACGCAAGAAAGGCATTCAACTCGGGGAAACAAGTCCTAACCACCGAGTTGAGGGAAACAATAAGCCCTCGCACTTGTCCCATCATCTTCACCCTCGAAGATGCGAGCCTTTTTTACCATCCCCACTCCGATGCTCTGATCGTCACTGCATCGATTTGTGGCTTCCTCATTCATCGGATAATGATGGATACGGGGGAATACTCGAGCATCCTCATGCTCTCAGCTTTCAATAAGATGGTTATTGACCCAAGGGAGATCGCTCCCTGCAATGACAAGTTTCAAGGATTCAATGGGAGTGTGTCGCTCCCCATAGAAGAGATAACACTCCTAATTTGGTTTGGGGGTCACGGACTAACCTAGAGGGTTATCATGGAGAAATTCAAGGTGATGGTCCTCTCCAATGAATACAATGCCATAATCGGGAGAACGGTGCTCTACAAGCCTCGGGCAAAGTATTCATCTTCCATTATGCCATCAAGTTCCCCACTGTCGACGAGAGGGGACCCACTACGACGACCAGCGAGAAGCTCAGGAGCTCATCCTAGCCATCCCCTCTCAAGAAATCCACGTGGTGGAAGGGTCCGTCAACGAAGGAAAAGATGACAATCGATCGAGAGTCCAGCAAGAGACCATGGTAACACTCCGCCTCCCCATAACGAAGCATAACGGAGGTCGCAACCAAAAAATCTGGGGCCACCTTGGTCCCAGAGGACAACATCTCGGCACCGACCATTACGAACTCAACAGAACCAGTCCAGGGCCGATGAATTCAGAAGATGGGTTAAGAGATGACATAACTCGGGATCGCAGGAGAAGGCCGGGAGAGGAGCCGGCTAAAGAGGACGATGAATTGGATCCTCGGGATCAATTCAAAGAGAAGTGAGAGGTGACCGAGCTGAACCCTCAGAGGAAGTTGAGATCATTTGTGTCGATGAGCTGGCGTGCAACAAACTGCTTTGCATTGGTGCGAACCTCCAAGACCCCATAAGAACCTAACTTATCCAATTCCTTCGCACGAACTCGGATGTGTTCATGTGGAGACACGAAGACATGAAAGGCACCGATCTAAACGTGGTTTGCCACCGACTTCATATCGAGAAGACGGTCAATCCCCTCGGCCCTGACCGACAATAGGCCTTGGAGAAGAAAGTCAAGAAGATCATCAACAACAAAATTTATCCAAGTGACAACGTACTCAACATGGGTTTCCAACTCGGTGTTGGTGAAGAAAAGTAATGATTTTGTGGCGCCTTTGCATAGACTTTTTCGACATGAACAAAGCGTGTCCCAAAGATAGCTACCCCCTCCCAAACGTTGATTATATGGTGAACGCAACTTCGGGTCACGAACTGATGAGCTTCATGGACGCAACTTTGGGCCACGAACTAATGCCCTATAGTGTATGTTCTGATAAAGGGTCATGGTTCCGTCTGGCCTTCCACGGTGGATTTCGAGACAAGAAAATCAGGACTCCTTGTTTTTTTTATCCAATCGGTGGGAAGAAGCGTCTTTAGACTTGGAGGGAACTTCGAGAGGGATCTCGAAGCAAGGCAGAGACATTGATTCTTATGTGTTGTTGGGTCGTGAAAGAAACTCTTGATATATTGTGGGCTTATTTTGACAAAACGACCATCAAAATAATGAATCTAGTCGAAGGCCAAAATAAGCAGACATTAAGAGTATTTGGGTGACAAGGCTCCATGTTTTAGACTCGAGTATTAAATCGGGTAATGTAATCCATAAAACTTTCATTGTCTTGCTGAAATATGTTTGTTATTGACTTCATGGGGATCATACACACCTGCGATCCTACAAAATGCATGCGGGACGTAGATCACAGTTGTTCCCAGTTGTGAATCAACCTTAGGGGTAAGGAATGATACAATCGTTGCACCTTGGGCCCCAACATTAAAGAGAAAGTCTAACGTCAGAGGGCATCACTGGCACCATGAAGATATATCCATGACGTATAATTCCTAAGTAGGAATCATATCGCCATGGTATAAATCTATTTGGGGGACGTTGATATTAACAGGGAGGACCTCAGTCTATATATTGGAAGAGAGTGGTGAAGTAGGATCAGAGGAGGCGCCTTTGTGGGATGAAAGGGGATTAGAGTAAGCCGATTGGCCGTTTGTAATGTTTGCCATGCTTCGAGTTCACTGATTTGCCTTTTGAGTGCGGTGATTTTCTCTGCTTCCTTTCCGAGAATCTTTTTGGTAATCTATTGACGAAGATGTTCAGGTTTGTTACCCAATCGGTTAAACACCAACCGGCATTCGAGTTCATGTGGGCCTGGCTATCGCCCATGCTTTGGCAATCTTTACAATGGTTGGGGCAGTCAGAGTGTTGTTTTTCTTTACCCTTGTTGTGGGCCCTTGTCTTTCATAAGATTGGACTTCTTGAGATTGAGAATTATGATTTGGTCAGAATT